CATTTTTATGAAAGTGGTCCTGAGCATGTTCATCTCATCCATTTCATATAAACTAACTCCAGGAAGAATTTCAGGCACAGAAAACCCTTTATATTGTAATTGCATCCTAGATCACCTGCCTTCTCCCCTCTAATAGCAATATCTTTCTTTGATAGAAAGCATGTAGGTAAAGTGGACCTATTCCTAGAAATAAGGGAAGGATCATCCTGAATCCAAGAGTGACTTTTTTTGTGTGACCTTGAGAAAATCACATGCTATCTACTTTCAGTTACTTTACTTACAGAGCAGTATTTGACCATATAATTCCTATGATACCTTCAAGTACTGCATTCCAAAGTCTATAATTAAAGGCATTCTGGGTAATTGGTAGATATACACCTTCACAATTTTATTACATAATCCCCATAAAACTAAATAATGTTCACCATATCATAGTTCAGTAAGATGATATTTCTTAGTTGACTCTCACCCTAGAGGCTTAAAATTTTTAGGCTAAAATTTTAGGAAGGAATTAAGATATGCAAATTGTCAGTCAGAAAAACAGTCATGGGAATGTGAAGTACAGCCTGAGGAGTATAGTCAATAATATTGTAATAATTACATGTGGTGTCAGATGAGTACCAGTGGGCTGAGGTTGCAGTTTTCCAGAGGTATATTCCTTTTATGATTTCCTTCACACAAGGCCTTTCTATCTCCCCTCATGCCCATTCCCAAGAGCAGATTGGCCTGCCTTGCCTGGGACATGTCTATGTCCAAAGCAACTTCATCTTCACACTCCTTGGCACACAGTGGCAGCTTGGCCACAGAATCATCTGACAAGGAAGAAACATTCTAAGAACAAATATGAAAAAAGAAATCTGCATATGCAATAACTAGATAAGCCTTCAGAACAGAACTGCATATTTGAAATATTTTCTTTTTAGAGAGAAGGCTCGGTGCTCCCTGGGGAATATGCTGATATCAGCAGAGAGCTATGATTTTGAGACGGGACACAGGATGCCGTGTGCAGATGCTATGCCCAGAGATGCAGCAAATCACCCAGATGGTGGCTTATGGTCAGAACAGGAAGTGAGAGTGAGGTACATCCACCTGACTCTAGCTGTATCTCCTCCGGCCTCATGGTCATCGTCGATGTCCTCATATGTAGCCTCAGGTAGATATTTACATGGAGACAAGATAGGTACAAAGGTTCTGAATCAGAAACTCAACATCCTGAAACACCTTTATATAGAACCACCGTTGACGTCTCTAGGGCTGCTCTCGACTCATCAGAACTCCTATCCCTTCAAAAATATACCCAGAACTTCTGACCCTGTCCTGCCCCAACCCTGGTGGCTGAAGTTATTGCTGTCTTACATGATATACCATGTTTCCTTGGCCCTCCTGATCCAAAGTCACTGAGGCTTACAGTCCACAGAAGTAGAGGTATCATTGTCCATAAATGCAATTAGGACAAGATGCAGATTCTACATCCCATATTGCAATGGGCCACATCTCACAAACCCACAAGCTCCCCTCATCCTTCTCTGCTTTTTAGAGCCTACCTTGGCACTTTATTTTGTTTCTGCACTGCTCAATCACAAGAAAATGAGACAGAGAAACAGGCAGAGTCCCAAGATAAAACCAAAGGTAGCTGCCACAAATAAGATCCCAGTGCCAAGATTTGAGCCTGCATGGATCCCTGAAGAAAATATAACCTCAGGATAGGAAAGGGCATAGAGGAATCATGCCCCTTACTGTCACCTGTTAGGTGTTCAGGATAGTGAAGTCACAACTTTGGGCTCAATGGGTGATTGTGAGAGCATGACGAAGACTGGCACAGCCTCTGTCCTTTGCAGACCTCAGCCCCATCCTATACTACTCCAAATTTATATAACAGAATTCTAAGTAATATCAGAAAGTTTCACAGCTGCCACAGACTGGAGGTTCAGAAGCATCATAACCAGCTCCCTTTCCAGGGAGAGAGCTCATCCACCTCAGAACAGGAAGGAAGCTCAGAGGACTCCTGTTCAGGATAAGAATATTCCCAAAAGGGACTGCATCCATGTGCATGGTGAGGGATCTCTTTCCCTAACTTTATGCCCTAACTCAGCCCAAGGAAAGAAAAAAATCCTGAGAAGGAACTCATTATACTTTTCCAAAGGGCCAAGGCTACCTCAGGGCACATCTAGTCCTGTCTGAAATGTGTGCGCCCGACAGAACCTTAGACTATAGCTCCTGTCACATGGGGCAGAGGGAAGGGAACACCATAGCTATAAAAAATATAAGCAAATGTTCCCTACTGTCTAGGCAGCAAAGGAAAAAACAGAGCTGTCCCACCATCATCAGGATGTGGACCCTGTATTCTTGGAAGGCCCTAGATCCTCCTCCTCCAAAAGTGCCTAGAGAAATCTATCAGTTCAGGCCATAGGTTCATCTAGTGTAAGAACCATTAGAGTTCATGGAAGCAGTTTCTGGAAGAACAGACACTTCTCCAAGGAGGACATACAGAGGGCCCAAAACATGTGAAAGGATGTTCAGCATCACTAGTCATCAGAGAGATGCAAATTAAAACCACAATGAGATACCACTTCACACGGTCAGAATGGCCATCATAAACAAATCAACAAACAATAAGTGCTGGTGAGGCTGTGGAGAAAAGGGAACCCTGGTACACTCTTGTTGGGAATGCAGACTAGTACAGACACTGGAAAACAGTATGGAATTTCCTCAAAAAACTAAAAATCAAATTGCCCTTGACCCAGCAATTCCACCACTGGGATTATATTCTAAGAATCCTGAAACACCAATTATAAAGAACCTATGCACCCCAATTTCACAGCAGCATTATTTACAATACCCAAGTGCTGGAAACAGCCTAAGCACCCATCAGTAAGTGAGTGAATCAAAAAACTGTGTTGCACTAACACAGTGGACTACTATGAAGCAGAAAGAAAGAAGGAACTCCTACCCTTCGTGACAGCATGGGTGGAGCTGGAGAGTATTATGCTAAGTGAAATAAGCCAGGCAGTGAAAGAAAAATGCCATATGACCTCACCTATAAGTAGAACCTAATCAACAAAACAAACAAGAGAGCAAAATAGAACCAAAGATGTGGAAATAAAGAACAAACTGACGGTGACCAGAGGGGAGGTGGGAGTGGGATAATAGGGGAGAGAAGGGAATGGGTCATCAACCCGTGGACAAAGACAATAAGCTCGGGGGAAGATGGATTGAATGTGGAAATTAGGGGGGATAGGGCAGAAGAGAGGAATAGGGTGATAATGGGGACAGCTGTATTTGAAAAACAATAAAAATAAAAGAAAAAAATTCAAAGCAGAAAGTAGAATGGTAGTTACCAGGGGCTAAGTGGGTGAATTGGGGAGATGTTAAAGGTACAAACTTGCAACCAGTAGATAAATAAATCCTGGAGATCTAATGCACAGCATTGTGATTATAGACAACAATAATATATTATAAACCTCAAAGTTGCTAAGAGACTAGATCTTAAGTTTTCCCACCACAAAAAATGAAACATTAATTATGTGACATGATAGAGATGTAACCTAACTATGGTGGTGATCATTTTTGCAGTACATAAATATATCAAATCAACACATTGTACACCTAAATTTATACAATGTTAAGTGTCAATTATATCTTAAAAACATTATTTCTAAAATGATGACATTAGTACTTATTTTGTTGATACCAAGGGTGAAATAAGAAACTGGTGTGAGATTGATTCCATTTCCAAGCATTGTTACTAGAGCCACCATATGTATTTTTTTCAAAGAGACCTGAAAACAATGTGAAAGTGAACTAACCAGTTTATATGAAAAAGAACAGAAGGGGAAGCATAGGAACAGAAATGTAGAAAAAGAAGACCCAGGAGTAGAAGGGCATACACTTTCTAATCACTGAAGACTGGATTGTCTGGTGCAAATTGCCACATTGTAAACTAGGGATTAATTTTGTAACTAGTTTATAATCTATAGTACCACCATGTCCCAGGAAACTATAATTATTCTTAGGGGAAGTGTCTGTTCTGATTATGGTAGCCTTGGGGACAATAAATTCTTTGTGATGTGAGAGAAGGAAAGGAAAGACTTTATACTTATTGCCATCAAAAACTCTTAATCTTTATGAGGCTTTTACTAACAAACCAGAAATAAAATGAGAGAAAAGCCGACCCTATGAAGCCAATAATCATGTTCCCTTGATGTGCTTCACTGTTTTTTTCCCATTTACCTGATAACTACTTAAATTAAATTTATTGGGGTGATATTGGTTCACAATATCATACAGGTTTCAATGTACAACTCAACAAAACATCATCCGCACACCACATCGTGCACCTATCGCCCTAAGAAAAGTCTCTATCTACCCCTCTTCCCAACCCCTTTTACCCACCTCCACTTATATCCAAAGAAACCTGAAATACCTGAAAATTTTTATCTTTGTAATCCTAATTTTTTGTTCTTATTGTTAGGTGCTTCTTGTTTCTTTGTACCCACAACATGTGACATCAAAGATCTAGACCTAATTAAGCAAAAATCATTTTTATTTCGCCCACGGGGTGGTGGAACTGTCCCAGAAACAGTGCATCTGACTGACCTCACCAGCTGCGCTGAACCAGCCGTGAGCCAGGCCTGTAGGGTGGAGAAAAGAAAGCCACACATAGTTTTCAGTACAGATTTTCTGTAGCAGCTTTGCGGGAGCGGGGAGGGGGCAGAGTAACACCTGACATTAGAAAGCCTTGTATCTCATATAAGGAGATATCTAAGATTCAGCATCTAATTGGTGTTTGAATTTCAGAAAGTTTCCTTTCATATAGTCTCTGATGGCAGGGAAGATGTTAAGTAGGGTTTCTATTGGCTGCTGGGAGATGGCGATGTCAGGGGATGGGACTATATAACCCCCTTCCTGCTGTGGGAGCCCCCATTAAGGGTCAGGAGGATCCCTTGTATGGTTTGAGGAAATTGAGGCTGTTGCCTGTAGACAAGAGGGTCAAAACGATCATGAGTGGGCACTGCTTCCTGCAAGGATTTTCTTTTTTCCTCCTCAGTGTCCTCGCGAGTGCTCAAGGTAAGCAGAGCCTCACTTCTGAAAATCAGCAGTGATACTGGGTTAGCTCTCAAGAGTCTGGGCAGATGATCCCTGGGGTTGTAACGGCAATGCCTCCCTAATGACTATTTGGTTTTCACCAAATGTAATCTTTAATGACAGTCAAACTTGATTTTTCTCCTGTGGGGACTCTGTTTTTCAACTTTAAAAGTAAATTATGGCAGAGATATAAACCTCATTCTCAGATTGACCCAAATCGATGTTTCACTCCTCTCCAACATCTAAAAACTAAAATCACCTTCTGCAATGGATTATGGCTGAGGGTCGACCACAGGCTGGGCGTCTGATCTGTCCTTCCTCTATTCTATATTATGTCTCTCTCAACCAGTATTTTGGTAGTTCTTCTCTTTTATCCAGTAGATTGTGTGTGTGTGTGTACATACGTGTGCATGTGTTTGTTGAAGGGCATGAGAGAGAGAGAGAAATGGGTGAGGGGAAGTTTGAAGAGTATGTGAAGCTTAAGTATGAAAGCAAGAACATGTCTGCCCAGGGGAATCAACACTTTAGATAGGAGTCCATAGAACCACACTCTCTAAACCAGACTGTGGGACTTGGTTTTGGAAGTGGTAGTTAGTGGTGGTGATGATACATGTGCATGTACATGATGAGGGCAGAAATAGAAACCTTCCTGCCTATATATCCCTTCCAATTTGAAGTATAATTGCACCTCCAGCGAGCCCTGCACCTGCAGTCTAAGCCTGACTTGAATTTTCTTTATCTTTCCCATAAACCGACAGCTCAAATGTTTTTCTACTTCACTGTAATTTTTCCCCAGCATTGGGTTCTTGGCTCAATTTTGTCTTCCTGTCTCTCATGTTTTCCCTTCTTAACTCTTAGATTGAAGGTCCTCAAACCCCATTGTGCAATAGAGAAAAGTGAGGCCAACTGTAGGTGATCATGAGTGAATTAATATTAGCCTTGAAGGCAGAAGGCTCTTTCCATCCCCACTCCCCACCCCCAGCAGAAGGGGAATGGAGCCTCAGAAACGTCAGGATGTATCTCTCTTTGTCAATTTTGCCCAGCCCCACAGGGTTACTTGAGCTTGGTCTGTGACATCCTACAAGATCTGCTAATTAAGAAGAATCCTCTGCTGATCAACTTCCTATGATGAATTTTCTCTCTTGTAGTTCCTGCGGATCCTACATGAAATCTGGCCCCAAATTGGGCCCCTGACTCAGGATATCAGTGTGTAAACTACTACAATGAGAATAATCTAGCCATGTGCCTGGAGAGCCGGCTCCTGTAGGTGTGGGCCTTGGTCTCTGGCTGCTTTTGCAATGCTCCTCACCTGTCTGTCCCTCCCCTTGTTTCCTCTTTATTTCCTCTTTATTTCAAGCCCCTCCAGTCAGAAGTCTTTGTCTCTTTTCATTGGGAAATTCTGCTCCTCCCAACAGGAGCAAGTTCTGTTTCTCACTTCCTTGTTATATTTCTTGAAACTTCCAGTTCCTTGGATCTTGGCTAAATGGTAATAATGGTTGATTTTGATATTTTTATGTGTATTAAGGGCTTATCCCATTATAGTCATGAAAATTCTCCCTTTAACTCAATTAGTGTATCTTGTTTTGAAGTCTTCCTTTTGTGATATTGATATAGCTACTCCACTTGACTGACGGTTAGTGTTTACTTAGTATATAAATACATTATTCCATCATTTTACTTTCAACCTTTTTTTGCCCTCAGACATAAGGTATCCTTCATATAGCACTTGCCTGAATTCTGTTGTTTCATCTACATTGGCTTTTGCTTGAAGTATTTAACCATTTACATTAAATGCAAATACTAATATTGTTGGGTTAGTCTCTATCATTTACTTTTCACTGAGCCATCTGCTTTATATTCCTTTTTCCCTCCTTGTTTGCCTTCTTTATAGTAGACACATTTGTTATTATCTTACATTTTTCTCTTTTTCTTTGATTTTCAGCACCTCTACTAGGTATGGGTCATATCATTCTTAGGGCTCTTTGACCTTCTGGAATATGTGTGTTATACTGTTCAACCATTATTAAAATTCTCAACTGTTATCTCTTCGAGTATTACTTCTGTGGTCTCTTTGTCTCTGTCTCTCTCTCTCTGTGCCTCTCCATTCCTCATCCCTGTCCTCCTCCTCTCCTCTCCTCTAAGTCACTTAAGTTCTATATAAAACTTTTAATCTATTCATTTAACTGTTCACTATAGACACTTTATTTTCAGTTGACACTGTCACTTTGATTTTTTATATACTTATAAAACTTTATTTTATTTTCTCATCCTTTTACCTGTTTTTTCTCTTTCCCTCTTTATTCTTAAATATATAGATCATAGATAAAATCCTTATCTGCTAACTTCACCATCTCTATCATGTGTGTTTTTGTCTCCTCTTTTTTTCCCCACTTTGTTAATTTGTCATATGGTCCTCTCTCTTTACATGCCTTGTAAGTTTTTATTGAATGCTAGAAATTGATTATGAAAAAGATAAGATACTCTAGATGTATTTGTTTCTAACATCTGAAAGGATTCACCTTCTGTTCTGCTAGATAGGTGGGCAAGGAGTGCTGATCAGCCAAATATCAAAACAACCTAGAACTGAGCTGGAAAAAGTCTTGGTTACAGTTTTGGCAACACTCAGTCTACCCCTGATATTTCCCTGTCTCTAGGGCATGGGCTCGCAGAGATTTCAGTGGAGAGCGTGGATGTTTTGGTAGCTTAGCACCCAAGACAATGAGAGAATATCCACTCCGCTTTCCAAAATTTTTGATGTAGTTCTTTGGCCCCCTGCTCTTCACAGCTTTTACACTGGTCAAATATTTGAGGAGAAAACCTGTTGTGTGAAAGTGGCCTAAAAGCCTCAAATTTGGTCACTCCAGCATCCGGTATCCCCCAAAGTGAGGCTGGCTTCTCTGTCCCAACAGGAGTCCTCTGCCGTGCCTGAGCCCGGATTCGGTGCTATTAACCCATGCACTGGATTGAAAAATTCCCATAAAGAAAAAAGAAAACTGTAGATCCTTGGTTAACAGTGAATTAATCTCCACTTTTTAGAGTTTTCGCATATACAGTCCATGTGGTATCCACATATCTAATAACTTTCCTTTTTTAAACATTTTCTAGCTTTTTTTGTTGTTCCCATTAGTACCATTCTTAATGAAAACAAAAGTTCTAGATTTTAGTCTCAATTTATCACTTACTTAAAGTAAATTGATAGACATTATTTAACTTCTCTTTCCATCCTTTTTCATGTGTAAAAATTTAGAATAATAATGCAGTGGATCTGTCAAAATTGACTGTTTAAGTACTTTCAAGCAGGAACATAACCTGTTTTTGTTCTATGTTCAAGTTAGAAACACATGACATTTTCCCCAGAGAACAAATAACTCTGTATTTTGAATAATAGCAATTGCTGACATGAAGATTAGATTTGTTAGAGGGAAGAAGTAACATTCTATGATTCCCAGTGTAATGTCTGGCCAATATCAATCAATATCATCTGACATTATCTCTCGTGGAAGGTTGCCCAATGTACTCAAAGAAAAGTACATTTTTTTTAAAACCAAATATCCAAATCTGGAGTCTGAAGCCTAAAAGCCTAAGTGAAGTTTCCTGGGCTAAAGCATGGCCTGTGTCATGGTCCTTTTTCAGCTCTGAATAGTACATACCAAGGAAAGCAGTTCTGATGTGCACAGGATGGATGGCTGCACCCCGAGATGTCTGATGAACTCGCCTCAGTTCTTCATTCCATTCTCTTTAATCTATTTCTTCTAGTTCTCAGATTAATGACACCAAAGTGCATAAACCATAAGAAATCCATCCAGCTGGCAGTCCATTACAGTGACCCAGAACTCATATACCTGCTCAGGGTAGCGATTTTAACACTTTCTGTATATTTTTTACAGGTGCTATGCTGAACTCTACAAATCAGAAGGTTAAATCTAATAGGGCCCATGTAACACTTTCCTATCTGAGACTTACCACAGTATTTTCTGCTTAATTTGTCTGGATGGTCCCCCCCCCCCGCCCCATATTTCAAATCTATTACTCTGATTACTGCCATAAGAAACCAGACACAGGTGTGATCCTAGTGCATCCCAGCTGCTCAGGTGAATTTGTCCCACAGGAGCAGAAAACCCTTCTCTCTTTCCCCATTGTACATACTCCATTGGCTTCTCTCTTCTCAGGCAGCGGACAGCTCCGCCTGATGGACGGGGAGGGTCGCTGTGCCGGCAGAGTGGAGATCCTTCATCAGGGCTCCTGGGGCACCGTCTGTGATGACGGCTGGGGCCTGAACAACGCCCAGGTGGTGTGCAGACAGCTGGGCTGTGGACAAGCCCTCGATGCCACGGTCTCTGCTCACTTCGGGGAAGGATCAGGCCAGATCTGGCTGGATGACGTGAAGTGCACAGGAAAGGAGTCCCACCTGTGGCAGTGCCCTTCCAGGGGCTGGGGAGAGCACAACTGCTGGCACAAGGAGGACGCGGGGGTCATCTGCTCAGGTCAGCGCGGCGCATTGTCCATTGGCTGGGGAGGAGGTGGGGGCCCTCGAGGATGGGAGTCTGAGCCCTGGCATGGGGGCTAGGGGGGCGCGTTGCGGAACGGACCGGAGGAGAAGGAGGCTTCCCTCCACACTGCCCGTGCAGACAGCTTGGCTGTGGAGAAGACTTCAAGGCCACTGACATTGGGGCAGGAATAGGACGGATCTGGCTGGACAGTGGGAAGTGCACAGAAAAGGAGTCCCATGTGGGGAAGTGCCCTTCCCAGGCCCGGGGGCCGTTTTATTGCAACCCTGGGGAGAATGCAGGAGTCATTTGCTCAGGTATGGTCGGGAGAGTGAATGACAAGTCCCAAGGAAGCTCGTGTCCGATCGCTGGGGCAATAGAAGGTGGATGGGCTAGGGAATATGAGACCTCTACCCACAATCCCCAAGTGCACAAAACACCTGTGAATGACAGGATTCTTCTACTTTCTTCTTAATGTCTCAATTACGGTTGTTCCCTTCTTGGGTGACAAAAGTTCATTTTAGTACTATCAATTAAAATCAATCTTCATGATTTTTTAAAATTTTACTTTTGTGAGAATGATTTTGTAAGTGATTTTGCAAATCACTGCACACATATTCCCTTTGTATGGTGAGCCAGCCTCTCAGAGGGAGGGTCAAGAATGAGGATGTCCTTTCCTTGGTTGAATTGTTTCTGTGTGTACAATGTGAGACACTGTTTTGCACTAGAGTAGTAGGAACAGAAGCACAGGGGATATCATTAAACAAATCGGACAGGAATTGAGGGATTTGTGCCAAATTGCAATGCTCTGTAAATTCACACCTAAGTGTTTGTCGTCTTTGGCCAGTAGAACCAGAGATCTTTGGATGAAATGCTTTGGGTCGTAAGTTCTCAATTTATTGTTACATGAAAAGATTCTTCATTTTTTCTTCTAAATGTCAGTATAAACACAAACTTTGGAGGGACATTTGCACCGTTAAAGCAATGGTGAAGGTAAGAAAGTATTAATATGTGTCTTTTATGTAAGAATTATATGATTTATCCCTGACAGCTCACTGCATTTGGGGATTCATTTGACAAGAATAGGAATAAGGGTACAAACAATTTTTGCAGGAGGTAGAAGAGGTTTCCAGTAGCTGTGGGTGGTGAGAATGACACTGGGATCTTCCAAGGGCACATATGGGGCTCTCTGAGCAGCACAGAGTACAGGTGTGGTGTAGAGAACACTGTGTGGGCATTTATGATAATTCTGTATGGCTGGTTGTAGAGATTGAGAAGAATGAGTTACAAGATTGATTCAGGTTGAGAAAGGGAAAAGATGAAAGTGGCAGAAACAGCATCCCAGTAATGAAATATTAAGTAACTTACATAAGGATACAGGATATCTATATAGCAGGACACCAGACAAGGATATATCTGACCATAGTTTTCATTTAGCTTTTGATGAGGTCATTTAATATAAATATGCCTCTGAAGAGGCAATTTCCTTTCCTTTCGCTATCTACATCTCTCAGCACTGAGCAGAGGCCTTAAGCCTGTGTACTCAAGTTTATCCTCCACTAGAAATAAAGCCCTACAAAGATAAGAACTTCCTTTTATTATGATTTACCTATCAGAATTCCCGAAACATAGCAAACTCTACAAAAACGTTTGTATTTTTTTGTACATGAAATGGACTCCCAATATTGTTTTCAAATATTTTTCTCCTAGGTAAATATCAGACCTGTCTACAAAATTTGGAGATGCCTCATTTGTAGTCTCCCTTCTCCCTCTCTTTTGATCTTCTCTCAATCAGAGACTCAATTTTTGTCTCCATTTCTGGGCCTCCAGCGTCCCACTCTCCTTGCTCTTTGCTGGACCCTGATAGAAAGTTCATGCCAACAACCTCTGGCTTCATAGGGGAATGCACAGCCCACGGGCACAGAGCAAGTTTGGCCTTAAGGAAGACACTTGGACCTTTGTGGGTCTCTGAGTGGCCAAATACCACAACCAATGGAGACATTTCCCACACCTCAGACAGTAAGGCTTTCTATTTCAATGAGAATAGTATGATCTTGGACTGATGGATGAGGAGCCAGAGGGTACAGATGTAGGTGAGGCTGACATCAAAACTTTGAGAGTTGTTGGTGTGAAGGCAGGTCAGTCACAACTACAGGCAGGACAGAGGAGACAGGGTTGGTCAAAGGTGAAGTAATAAAAATGGGACCTTGATGAAGTGTGATAATACCCAACCTGGCCATCCTTGCTCTCTTGCTTCTCTAGATAAAAATCAAGACAAAATAAGGCTATAACAGTGAGAGGGAGTATTTCCTGTGGCCAAAGGAACCCTAAGCACAAGCAGAGATATAGAAAATTGGGGATCTTCCAGGCTCAGGCCCAGGTGCAGAAAGAGTAGTTTCCTAGACACCTGGCCCCCTGAGATGCCTCCTGTAACTCAGGTTGATGTCTCTCATGCAAATGAGCTAAATTTGGAAAATAGATAGATGTGTAGAGGTGAATCACCCAGGATAATGGGCCACAATATGTACTTAATAGTGGGCCCTAGGGGAATTGAGATGTTGTGTAATAACCTGGGACATGGAGCTGGCATTGAGGGAATAAAACAGGCACAGAAGAGGCTAAGTCTGGAGCCAACTGTATTCCCTCCCTCTGTAACAAGTCTCTCTTATGAAAAAGCCTCCCCAGATTCTGTCTTCTCTGGCTTAAAATAAGAACACAGTGCTTGAGGATTCCCAGTATTATGTACAGCTTTTAAAGCTTGTTGATCTTTAATCTTAGCCCTGAAAGGGTCCATCCATATTCTCCTTGGTGTGGGCTTCGTACCTCCCTCCTTTTTAACCAGAGTAAAGGTGTGTCCATTTCTTTTCTTATTTATGATTCATAGTAAGCATAGTTAACTACAGCACAAGACACAGATTTCAGATTTTATGGGGTTTTTGTTACTTTCAACTTACGTTGGTACTTTGGGGTTTCTGTAGTATTAGGTTAAGCATTAATTCCAGATTCAGTATTTCTTGTCAAAACTACTTGTCCTCTGTCATATCTTCTGCTTAAGCAGATTTTTGAAAATGTGTCCAGACATTTTTCAGGTCAGCTCAGGGAGACGAATTTCCAATAAAAGGATAAAGAGCTGAACAGAAACTCTCAATGTAAGCCTAGAGCCAACCCTGAAAATTTCACTCACTCTTTTTTCTCAGGTAAGCCAAAGCCGTTCAGAAGTTCAGTGAGAATCTCCATGTCAGTCAGCTTCTTCCTGCGCTCATATGTACAGAAACTTCATTTACTGTTCCATAAGCATATAAATAGCACAAAACAAATAAATATTATCTGTGGAGAATTCCAATATTATTTTACTTTAGACGATAACACCTATGGAAGTACTGAGTTATTAAAACTTCACTTCTCACTAGCAATACCAGTCTTGCACAGATATTAAAATCTCCTTACCAATCAGAGATCAGTGGGAAGATTTGTCACATCGCAGAAGTGAATACCTTTAGTCAATATGAAAATGTAGGGTCATGTTATGTGACATGCTGAAGAAATGTATTTTAGTAAGGGAGACTCAGAATGAGTCTTTTTTACAATGTGTGTTAAAAACTCTTTTTCAAAGTGTGTGTGTGTGTGTGTGTGTGCACGCGCGCACGCGCACGTGCATTCACATGTATATAAACTCATTTTTTCTCTTGTAGCCTTGTGGTTAAGTGATAGATTGGAGGAGCACAGGTGATAAAATGTGTTAAGACTTGTTCCACAGGTACTTATTCCAAATTTTATACCTTTCATCTATACTAAAGCTTTTGCACTTTAGAAGTCTCCAAATTATAGTTTGTTTGCTCTCTGCTTCCTTCTTTTCCCTCTCCTTTTTACAGCATGCTGGCGTCTCACCTCAAGAATCCAAGAAGGAGAGGTATATACACTTAGCATACAGATAGATTAACATACCTCAGTTACTCTTACTCCTTAGCATTGGCTTAGATTCCCCAGCATGTAGCCATCAGCAAACTCAGCTGTCTGACATATTCCCCCTGAGGGCTCTCTCTCTCCCAGGTCCATCAGCAAATCCTAGGGTTCAGGAAAGATGACTAGGACCAGCACTCCTTTTCCTATGACTCTTGGTGTTTTCTTAACATCCAAGCTCATCTTCGGACAGCTTCTTCCACAATCAGGTCACCTAAAAAATTCTTGGAATTTCTGCCTTCAAAAATTATGGCAAAAATAAAATGTGAAACCATAAAAGTGGACCGGTTATATCTATGTGTCCTCCCTTGAGTTATAGGTCTCTCTACAGTTTGGCCTGCACTCATGGATCCACCCTCATCATTTTCCCTGTCCTCAGTCACTTGAAGGTCGGCTGCTGAGATAAAGCTGCATAGACTTCTAACCCCAGAAATCTCAGTATGTGCTTCTAACCTTCTCTGCCTGATAGGCCTCTAAGCTCTTGGATTCCATGGACATTTTTTATTTAATTGTGTGTTAATTTAGTTATTCGTACTTCTACACCCAACTTTAAAAGCCCACTACAGTGCCACAGTGCAATTTCCTTGTGCCCTGTAATTGCTACATCACTACGTAAGGAAATCTCATTTGTAACAACTTCAAAGTGTACATTTCTCTTCAGAAATTTCTTTTGAAAAAGCAATTCTGACAGTAATTGTCACAATCCTTTTCCTTTCCCCACCACCAGTAAAGCAAAACTTTCACACCATTGCCTATGACATATTTCCAATTGCCTAACCAGAATCATAAACACTTCACTCATTTGTTCGTTTTTTCTCTTAGGATTTCCTCGTCTGGCTGGAGGGGGTGGACCCTGCTCAGGGCGAGTCGAAGCACGTTCTGGAAGAGACTGGATTCCAGTGACTGATGAGAACTTCACATGGCCCACTGCCCAGGTCATCTGTGCGGAGCTGGGCTGTGGCAAAGCTGTGTCTGTCCTGGTGGATGTGCCCTCCAGAGGGTCAGATGGACGGGTGTTGGCTGAAGAGTTCCGGTGTGAGGGCCAGGAGCCTGAGCTCAGTGTCTGCCCCAGGCCGCCCTGTCCAGGAGGTGCTTGCCAGCACAGAGGGGCTGTTCAAGTTGTCTGTTCAGGTGAGATGCAGAGCAGGACTTTAACCTCCCTGCATACTCTCTTGGGGAAAGAAAGACATGAGGTTTTGATAAAATCCTGTTCTCTCCTACCAGCATACACGGAAGTGCGGCTCATGAAAAATGGCACCTCTCAGTGTGAGGGCCAAGTGGAGGTGAATATTTCTGGAGGATGGAGAGTGCTCTGTGCCTCCCACTGGAACATGGCCAATGCCAACGTTGTCTGTCGTCAGCTCGGCTGCGGAGTCGCCCTCTCTACCCCAGGAGGAGCCCACCTTGTGGAAGGAGGTGACCAGATCTGGAAAGCCCAGTTTCACTGCTCAGGGGCTGAGTCCTTCCTGTGGAAGTGCCCGATGACTGCCCTGGGCATTCCTGGCTGTACCCACGGGAACACGGCCTCTGTGATCTGCTCGGGTAAGAGAAAGGGAAGGGCTGCCTGGTACTGAGGGTGTTTCTTAAGTGAAATGTCTCTATGACCAGAAAGTGTGGAAAAGCAGCCTTCAAAAGTAAGGTATTTCAGAGAAATAAGATATATGGTTCTTCTCATAGTTCATTCTTTTTTTGTTGTTGTTGTTCAAAGTAAGAAGTGTTAGGAGAAATAGTATTTTTCAAATAAACATTTTATTGAAGTATGATCATAGAGAATGTGTAAGTAATAAGTGTACACCTCAGCCATGTGCCCCACCCCAGATTAATCAAGAGATGATTAAAAGCACCCAGGAAGCCACTTCACTTCCCACTAATCACTCTGCCCTCCCTCCTCTCCAACGAGACCACTTTTCTAACTTCTACTACCATAGAATATTTTTGTCATTTTTTGAACTTCAAAAAAATTTTGAAATGTTTTTTGTGTGTCTAACTTCTTTGACTCCATATTCTGTTTGGAATTCATTCATAGTATTGCTTAAGCAGTATTTTATTCATATTTATTGGTACAGAGCATTCCATTGAATGATCACATGACCATGCATTGGTCAATTCAATTGATGATAGATTTGAGTTGCTTCCAATTCTTGACTATTACAAATATAATGCTACAAATTACCATGACAATGATTTTTGCTGCAGGTATGTATATTATATTACATGTTTAATCCTTAGCCTTTTATTTACTCTCTTAATTATATGATGTTCTTTGTTGAGCCAAGTTCTTAATTTTAATGAAGTATAACTTATCAACGTTTTCCTGTACATTTAAGGTTTCTTACATCTTTTTTAAGAGAACTTTGCTTACCTGAACATCACAAAATATTCTCCAAGGGTATCTTATACAAGCTTCATTATTTTTCTTTTACATATAATTGTACAATCTTTCTGGGGAATTAATATCTGTGTATGGTGTGAGTTAAGGGTCCAATTTTGTATTTTTTAATGGATATCCAACTGACTCAGAATCTTTTTCTTAACAGAGTCTTCCCTACTGCAGCGCCACCTTTGTATAGACTGCATGTATGAGTCTTTTTCCAGTTTATTTGCTGCTCCACTGTATCATTTGTCTATCCTGGCACCACTACCACAATTTCTCAGTTATTGTAACTCCATAGCAGGTCTAGAAAATGTAAAAGAAGTTACTTTATAATAACTCCTCTAACTTTGTTGCTTTTCTTGTGTATGTGTTCATCTTTCTCAGCCTTTTGCATAGCCTATGAATTTTAAAATCAGCTTGTCATTTTTCATCCCCTAAAAACGTAGGATGGCATTTTGATTGAGATTAGATTTATTCAACCATTTGACTTGAAGATAATTAACCTTGAAAATATTGAGTCTCCCCACTCATTTACATGGTATTTCTTTGTTCATTTCAGTCTTCATTTTCTCTCAGAGGTTTTACACATCTTCCACCAGGTTTTTTCCTAGGCATTTCATGTTTCTGATGTTCTTAGTATGTCTTTTAGTGAAAGTGTCTCAAAGATTCTCTCTGAATTGTTTTCACCTTTTATATTTCTATATTTTTATTTTGACTAATTTGAGACTCACAGAAAACTTGCAAGAAAAAAATTCCCAGATAGTCTTTTCCCACATTCCACCAATGTTAGTATCTTGTTATAATTTCTCTCTCCCTCTCTCCCCCTCTCCCTCTCTCTATCTCTCTTCTTCCCTCCCTTTCTCTTTCTCTCCTTCTCTCTTTTTCTCTCTTTCTCCTGCCCCATTTCTCCCTGAATATGTAAAATTGTTCTGAATTAGTAGGTAAAATTGGTAGGTTGCCGACATGGTGTCCCTTTACCCTTAAAATACTTCAAAGAATTCCCTTAACATAACCTTGGGACAATGATCAAATTCCAGAAGTTAACATTGTTATAATATTAGTATCTTCTATTATTATTATAAGGTCCATAAGCTGTATTCAGATTTTGCTGAGCGATCCAAGTATGTTGTTCACAGCTAAAAGATCTGAGTAATGTGCTATATTCAGTTATCATGTCCATTTAGTCTTCTTTAATATGGAACACTTTCTGACTCTTTATATTTCATGACACGGGTCTTTTTAAAGAATACAGGCCAATTGTTATGTAGAATGTTCATCAATTTCAGCTGGAACAATACACAGGAAAATTAAATATAGTAGAAATGCAGTGAATTGATATTAGAGTCCGTCCCACATAAATGTAAATTGACTTTTACTTTTTTTCCTAAGTAAAAATAGAAAAGACAACATCTGCCAAATCAATCACAAAACACCAATTTCCCTGACTTGTACAGCTTGAGCTGTCAATATACTAAGACAGCTCATGCTGTAGTGAATACTATGTTATGATTTCTGTAAACCACAGTTTGCAGGATCCACCAGTTTTTTTCACAGGTCATGCTAGACACATCCTTAAATAAGGCCTAAATTCCTTTTTTTACTGTTGTTTGGTAACAGTTCTCCTGTCTTTTCCCCCATTGCTAACCCCTATCCAGTCCCTCCCCGCCCCCACCGTCAATCCCCCACCATTGTCCATGCTCATGAGCATTCGTGTTCCTTTGCTTGCCCCTTCGCCTTCTTTCCCCTGTTTTCCACACTCCCCTCTAGTCATTGTCAGTTTGTTCTTTATTTCCATGTCTCTGGTTCTATTTTGCTCACTTCCTTGTTTTGTTGATTAAGTTCCACTTACAGGTGAGATCATACAGTATTTGTCTTTCACCGCCTGGCTTATTTCAATTAGCATAATGCTCTCCAGTTCCATCCATACTGTCTCAAAGGGCAGGAGCTCCTTCTTTCTTTCTGCTGCGTAGTATTCCATTGTGTAAATGTACCACAGTTTTTTGATCCATGCATTTACTGTTGAGCACTGAGTCTGTTTCCAGCAGTTGGCTATTGTAAATAATACTGCTATAAATATTGGGGTGCATAGGTTCTTTTGAATTGGTGATTCAGGATTAGTCCCAGCAGTGGGATCACTTGATCGAAAGGTACTTCCATCTTTAGTTTTTTTCTCTTTTTTTCTGAGAAAATTTCATACTATTTTCCACAGTGGCTATACCAGTCTGCATTCCCACCAAAAGTGAACAGGCGTTCTCTTTTCTCCACGACCTCACCAGCACTTGTTGTTTGTTCATTTATTAATGATGGCTATTCTGACCATCACTAATGTAAAATGATGGTCATTAGTGTGACCATTGGTATCTCATTGTGCTTTTAATTTGCATCTCTCTGATGGCTAGTGATGTTGAGCATTTTTTTCATGTGTCTATGGGCCCTTCGTATGTGTTCCTCGGAGAAGTGTCTGATCAGGTCCTTTGCCCATTTTTTAATTGGATTGCTTGTCTTCCTGGTGTGGAGCCATGTGAGTTCTCTATATATTTTGAAGATCAAACCCTTGTCCAAGGTATCATTGGCACATATGTTTTCCCATACAGTTGGTTCCCTTTCCATTTTGTTAATGTTTTCTTTAGTGCAGAAGCTTTTCAGTTTGATGTAGTCCCATTTGTTTATTTTTTTCCTTTTTTTTCCCTTGCCCTGGGTGATGTAGCAGTGAAAATATTGCTGTATGGGATATCTGAAATTTTCCTGCCTATGTCTTCTTCTAGGACTTTCAAGGTGTCACAAGTTATATTTAAGTCTTTTATGCATCTTGAGTTTATTTTGGTGTCTGGGGTAAGTTGGTAACCAAGCTTCATTTTTTTTGCGTGCACTTGTCCAGATCTCCAAACACCACTTATTGAAGGAACTACATTTAATCCATTTTAGGTTCCTGCCCCCTTGGTCAAATATTAAATGACCATATTGACATGGGTTTATTTCTGTGTTCTCTGTTCTGTTCATTGGTCTATGTGGCTGTTCTTATGCCAGTACCAGACTGTTTTCATTACTGTGGCCTTGTAATATAGTTTGATATCAGGTATTTTGGTCTCTCCTACTTTGTTCTTCTTTCTCAAAAATGCTGAGGCTATTCAGGGTTGTTTATGGTTCCAGAGACATTTTTGAAATGTTTGTTCTATATCTGAAATATGTTATTGGTGTTTTAATAGAGATTGGATTGAATCTACAGGTTGCTTTGGGTAATACGGACATTTTAATTATGTTAATTCTTCCAATCCATGAACACAGTATATGTTTCCATTTATTTGTGTCTCCCTTAATTTCTCTCCTCGATGTTCTGTAGTTTTCTGAGTTCAGGTCTTTTACTCCTTGGTTAAATTTGTTCCTACAAAAATGCATTCAATTTCTCAATGTTTCTTTGTATCCCACAATTTTACCAAATTCATTTAGGTTGAGTAGTTTTTTGGTGGATTATAGGAGTACCTCAAAAAAAAGAGGTTACCTCCTTTTTCATTTGGATGCCCTTTCTCTGACCACTGTTGCTAGAACTTCCCATAATATGTTGAATAGAAGTAGTGAATGCAGACACCCTTGTCTTGACCCTGATCTTAGTGGGAAAGCTTTTAGTTTTTGCCCATTGAATATGATATTCGTTGTAGATTTCTCATCCTGGCCTTTATTATATTGATGTATGTCCCTCTATTCTCACTTTGCTGAGTGTTTTTTATCATGTATGGGTGCTGAACTTTATCCAATGCTTTTTCGGCTTCTATGGACATGATCACGTTTTTGTCTTTTGTATTACTTATGTAGTGTATTACATTTATTGCTTTGTGAATATTGTACCACCCTTGCCTCCCTGGGATGAATTCCACTTGATCATGGTGTATTATCTTTTAAAGTATTGCTGGAAGAGGTTTGCCAATATTTTGTTGAGGATTTTAGCATCTGTGTTCATCAGTAATGTTGGCCTATAGTTTTCTTTCTTTGTTGTGTCTTTACCTGGTTTTGGAATTAGGATAATCCTGGCTTCATAAAAAGAGTTTGGAAGCCCTCCCTCTTCTCGGATACTTTGAAATAGTTTGAGAAGAATTGGGATTGGCTCTTCTCTAAATGTTTGGAAAAATTCTCCTGTGACTCCGTCCAGCTCAGGGCTTTTCTGTGCCGGGAG